GTTTCTAGAAGGACCTACCATGTACCTCCTGGAAATACTGAGCTCTCTTAATGTATTAATAAAGTAATGTGATGTATTTAAAATAATTTATTGCCCCACTTTGGAGAATATGATTACTCCCTCTGTTTTGTTTTCATATATCATTTTGAAAAATGGAACAAACTTAGGTTAGAAATGGGGACAAGGTAGCAATGTACAGAAAATGTACTATAGGGAAGGAATCTGAACTAGATTTATGCTCCATCTGAGTGGATAAGTTAACAACTGGGATATGGATGGATTCACTGATCCTTTAGGTTCATTCAGGATCTACTGTGAAGTCCTACAGTTCTATGAACAAAGCTGCTGGGATGGGGAGCTATATGGAGTCTGCAGTGTGAGGATGGCCCGCTACAACTGAAAAATCATCACTAAAAACAAATTCCTTATGCCAGCGAACACAGCGTCCTCCTCCTATTCCTTTTACTCCTCCTCCTCTTCCTTGTCTTCTCTTCTTTTCTCTTCTCTCCGCACCCACACAACACACACATATACACACTTACCAGCTTGTGTAAGTCATTTTTTCACTTGTCTCTCACTCCTCCTGACCCCATTTGGGATTTTTTTGGCAAAGATGCTGAAGTGGTTTGCCATTTCTTTCTCTATCTCATTTTAGAGATGAGGAAAATGAGGCAAGCAAAGTTAAGTGATTTCCCCAAGATCACACAGCTAATAAGTATCTGAGGCCAGATCTGAATAAAAGAAGATTGGTCTTCCTGGCTCCAAGTCTGGTAATCTACCCACTGGAATTGAATATCACATAAATTCACTAGTACTGATTCAAAAACTTTGATTCTGGGTTCATTCATTAAAACTATTTTCAATCAGGAGTCTTACTTATTCACTTACAGTGACTGACAAGTGTGAAAATTCCCATCCTTAGCATTTCCTTACTTAGGAGGACCAGGTCTGTGACTGACATCCTCGAGGCTCTATCGGCTACAACCAAATACTTCTTTCTCTCAAAAGTAGTTCAGAAGTAGTCATATACTAGATGTAAGTAGGCTCAGCAAGCTGTACCCCAGATTTATTTTTAAGTAGCACTTGACTTTTTTGAATCCTGTGCCCTCATCCAGAACTGAATTCCCATGCAGGACCCAATAACAGATGTCTTCGCAAAGTACTGTTCTGCAGGTGGAGTTATATGAGGCTTGGAATATTGGCAGCATTGACTGTACTAGAAAAGTGGCACAGGCAGAAACCAATACAACATCTTGGGGTAATGCCATAGCACACAAGGGAACAAGTGGGCACAGGCATTTTTAGCTACTTCCTATATGTCATACACTGTGCTAAGTGCATCTGTAGTAGGAAAAAAAGACCAGACATTGTTTTACCTTCTCTCTGGGCAGATAAGCCTGAGGGAGAGTATCATAATATCACCAATGCAGAAGTATACAAAATGATCAGAAAAACAAAGGAGACACAATGAGTCAGTACTAGTTCCATCTGTTTCTTTTTTTCCACAATGAGATTTGTCAGTATAAACAGTTTCATTCTGTACCCTATGTCTCCATTTCCTTTCTCTCTGTGGCATAGGTCCCAATTCACTTCAGTCTGCCCTGAGGAAAACATAATTAGAATGAGTCTGATGGCCACCCATCCAATATACCTCTGAGTGTAGCAGAGTGAGGACACACTTGGAGAAACTGCCCACATCGGTGCTTTCTGCAACTTTTTAAGGTTTTCTTTTACTCTGACACAACCTATATGTGGCAGAGAATAACGGCACAGATCTATGCTAAACCTGAATGGTCAGTAAGCTGTTAATAGCTTGTATTTCAGCCATTAATTCTACCAAATTAAACTTTCAAAAAAAAGAGCTTTCCGTCCCCACAGATTAAATTATTTTGCATTCACTCTTGCCCTCTGAAGACACATGGCCTTGACTTTCTTATCCTCTACAATAATACTAGGACATCTGAAAAAGTACTAACCATCCATGTTTTGTTTATTGTTCAATTCCAAATAACTGGACATATTGAAGGTTTTCTGTGGGCAAGGATTTGCGTCAAACTGATTGTGTCAAATACCAAGACGGTGAGTGGGTTCATCAATATTAAGGAAAACTCTCACAATAGACCTAAGGTACATTTGTGTACACAGTGTGGTATGTCAAAAGTCATGCTACCTTGACAATCAGCCCTGCATTCCACACCCATTTCTGACCCTGTTTAATATTAATAAAATCTTCCTTAAATTTATTCTGCTTGACAATGTATTATAAGGACTTTATTTCTCTCTTTTCTTGTCGAGTAGTGGGGAAGGGTAAGGAAGTAGGAAAGAAAATAGATTCTTATAAACTGAAAAAAAATCAAATAAAGAAATATAAAGTCCTCTTTCAGCCTCAGTTTTTCTCCTCTAACACAGGCACCATCATGATGTAGGACCCTATTACTTCATGCCTGGACTATTTCAACAGACTATGGGTCACTTTGGCTTAAGACTCTCCCCACTCCAGTCCTTTCTCCACTCAGCTGTCAAATTGATTTTCCTAAAGCACAAAACCACGACATCACCCTGCCCCCTATTAAATAAACTCCAGTGGCTACCTCTCACCTCCAGTATGAAATAAAAAACTTTCTATTTATCATTCCAAGCCATTTACAACCAGGGCTCCTCTTACCTTTACAATCTTATTAGACTTTACTTCCTCTTTCTCCTTTCCCCCCAGTCTCTCCCCTGCCCAATTGGCACCCATCTTGATTCAGACACACCCATCTCCTAACATTCCTTACACAAGGACACAAGACAGTCTATCTCCAGTTTCTGGGCATTTTTCAATAGCTTCCCCTATGTTAAGAACACTCTCCTTCCTCATCTCTACCTCCTAGCTTCCTTGTCTTCTAAAAATTGTACTTTCTACAAAAAATCTTTCTTGACCCTCCCACAATGCTGGTGTTCACTTCTGCTGATTATCTCCAGTGGCTCCTGTAAAGAGTTAGTTTGTACATAATTGTTTGTGTGTTGTCTCCCCAGTTAGACATTGAGCTAGGTGAGAGATTGCCCTTTTCCCCACTTGTATCCTTGGTGCTGATCACAGTGCCTGACACATAGTAGACAATTAATAAATGTTTAATGATTCACCGACTGCTTCTTATTTGCAAAATACAAATAATTATATTTGAATTGATTGTATCACAGGATTATTCTAATGGAATAGATATGTGGATTATTTACACTTCGAAGTTTTCATTCGATCTGTTGGAGCTAAGTTTGGCTCACTTGATTCACATGTTTATTAATAGTAGCATCCTTAGCCCAGTTTTCATTTTTGGTATTCGGAACGTAGCAAGAAACTGACCAATGTGGAATGAGGAAACACGAACATTCCTCATGATCCACCGAGAACACTTAGGGCCCAACACAGGCATCTAAGAACCTAAAGGACGGATTTGGAATATGCTTGAATATCAGACTTCTTCAGTGCTATTTTGATGCTCCTGAAATTATGTCTATTGAATGAACTAGCTAAATCTAAATGTCCTATGAGTTGGTCGGAAGTTAGCTGCTCTGAAAGGGAACGCTTTTATATCATCTCTAGGCTAATGCCCTGGTCTATTTCTTAGTTCCAAGCTTCTTCTGGAACCCCATTCTTTTCCCTCTTGATGAGAAAAAAAGTTTTGAAAAGGAAACAGAATTTAAAGGGGAAAGTTTAAATGATGCAAAGACGCCTCTTGCAAAAGGGATACTGTTGAAAGGACATACTGAGCTCAGAATGCAGGTTCAAAATAACTTGGTCTCATTTGAAATGTCATGCTTTTTCTTATGTCTGATAGTCTCTTTTACAACCCATTTCCTCAATGTCCAGCACAAAATAAACCAAGCAAACTTATCAGTATTCATAAAGTATCTACAGACTAGAACATCCTCAGTGAGAAACCAACTTGTAGATATGGGACGTAAAGAAAAAAGAAAAAGTTTGGGACAAGAAGATGGAGTTACCCATCTTAATTAATGTCATGTACCCCTAGCCACCACGATTAAACACATTGGGAGACATTAACCCCAAGGTCTTCTTGAGAGACTTTTTTTTTGTATTTATTAATGTACTTTCAATCTGGGCATTCTACACAATAAGGAAGCCTTATTCAAATCTAATAATAGGCCAAGGCCATCTCTGGGGAATATAATGTAGAATAGAATGTACCTACAGTACAGGTGCCAAGAATAGTACAGGATTCTTAGTCCAACCTAAATATAGGATGGTGCAGACCTCAGGGAGTTTAGAAAGGCGAGTAAAATACTATCTGCTGTACAGGTACCGAATTTGATTTCTTTGACAAAGCTTTTCCCTAACAAATACTGAGATGAGGTACTGGTAATAAAGGAACTGGATATTATGAAGTGTTATTCCACTCTGGGTCAAATGGTGGTGGGAGAGGCTAAGAAGAAGTGGAGAGATTTGCAATATGACATGAAATGTAAATGACTAATGTAAACAGAGAATTTAATAAAGAGTCTATGTAGGAATTTATGGTCAAACCAAGGATAATTAAAATTATTCATCTACTTACCTCCCTTGCGGGCTGATCAGTTTATTAATTCTCTATTAATTATTAATTATTAATTATAGAATTATCTATTATTATATTATATTATTATATCTATTATTAATTGCATTTCAGTGAGGCAATTGGGTAACGACAGTTAAAAAAGAGAGACAGTGGAACAAGGGGGACTTTAGAGAGGGGAAGGTGGGAGCTATTCACTGTTTAAACTCTGTAGACACTGACAAAATTAATTGGCAACGTTAAATCAGTGGCAAGGATTTTATTAGTCTTTTACTCATTTAAAATAGTTGCCATGGACCACCTCATACTATGTCCCAGGCAGACTGAATTGTGTTCAACTCTGAAAGTTTAGCAAGAAGCAACAAGTGTATTCCACTTGGCCTCTCAGCCTAATATAGAGAAACATCTCAGTATGGTAGGAAAAGAATTATTTAAAGTCGAACATACCTGTTTTCAGAAGCGACTGCTCCTGGGGACTTATACAGCAGTTTTCCTGCTGAAGGGAACAGGCAGACCAGCTAAAATGTAATGCTGGAGAATTTCCTCCCTGTTGTTCAGACTTAATGCTGTGTTTAAAAAAGAAAACAAGAGAACAAAACCATCTTCAATGTCTGAATATGTAGAGTACTTTGGATGTGTGCTCTCACTCTTCTTCATTAAATATATCACAGGACTGGATAGAATGAAAATGAACTCTTTTGAATGTTGTCAGAGAGGAAATCTTAGATCAGATGATCTCAGCTCTACCTCTCATGTCTTTAAGACTCATTATAATTTTTATAATAATACTTAGTATTTATGTAGTGTTTGCTATGTGCCAGGTACTGTACTAAGCACTTTATAATTATTATCTCATTTGATCTTCATGACAATCCTGGGAGGTAAGTGCTATTATTACCTCCATTTTCACATGTGAAGAAACTGAGGCAAATGAAGGTTAAGTGACTTGCCCAGCATAGCACAGCTATTAACTATCTGATGTCAGATTTCAACTTAGGTAATTCCTGACTTCAGACTCACAATGTTTATGTTATAACCAGCAGAAGGACCAAAAGGGGAAAGAGTCCATACTGCTTCTCTAAATACTGAGCAGGAAAGACTAAAAAAATGTATTTGGCTTTAAAAAAAAAAAGGGCCTGGCACATAGTATTTCTTTAACACGTGCTTGTTGACTTAACATTATAGCACATACTAACTTACTGCTAAGACTACCTAGAGCACCTCCCTTGAGATATAAGAGCTTCTTAAGATTGGCCAAAGCTCCTTACTAAAGTATAACATTTCCATGGCAGAATTTACCCATCTATCAATCAACACTTATGAGCACTGTAAAGACAAAGACAAAAATGTTAAACACTTTCTGCCTTCAAGTCGCTTACATTCTTGTAATGGGAAAGACAACATGTCTATATTATACAAAATAAATACAAGGCAGATTTTGATGGGAGTGTATTAGCAATCATAGGAGAGGATCAGAAAATACTTCATGTAAAAAGACAGCAGTTAAACTGAATCTTTTTTTGGAAAAATATTTGTTCTTGATGTCTTCTTTTTACATTACTTAACTTTCTCCCTATATTCCACTCCTTCCAAAAAATAATTTAACAAAATTTAAACTAGAATAAACAGGTGAAGAGAAACATCAGTCAGAATGATTTAAACATTGACAGAATTTGACATTACATCCAATGTTAAACATCTAAGGATGTGTGCCCCCTCTGCACCCACTGACATACCTCTTTGAAAGAAGTGAGGAGAAAGTGTCTACTAATATTTCCTCTTTGGTGACAAGCTTATTCTTTATAATTCTGCAACCTCATGTTCAACTGTTTTGTGATGCCATTCTTATCCATATTATGTGGTAGTTATTCTTGTCATTATTATTACCGTAATCAATGTGTATATTGTTATGATAGTTCTGCTTGATCTACTTTACATCAATTCATGTAATTTTCTACATGCGTCTCTGTATTCATATTAGTCACTTATTACAAAACATTTATGTCCGAAAATTTACTTAGGCATGATCCAATCGATGGATATTATTTTTTTCCTCGTTCTTTACTACTACAAAAAATTGGTGGTCTAAATATTTTGGGTTCCTTCTTTTTTGTCATAATGATCTTCTTGTGACACAGGCCTAATAGGAGAATCTCTGCGCCCAAGGGTAGGAACATTTTAGTCACTTTACTTAATTTGTAAAACAGTTATATTAACTCCGAAATTTGAGATGAATTTTACAGGAGGACACGGATTCTAAGAGGTGAAAGCGAGAAAGGAATGAATTCCAGGCAAGGGTGACAAATAGCAAAAAGTCATGGAGATGGGACATACAGTGTTTTGTGTGTATCTGGAAAGGTGAGTAGGGGGACCCAGATGGATAAGCACTACGCAGCATTCACCTGAACGTAGCTTAAGAAAGCAACCTAGAATCTTCCTAAAGTCCCATTGCCGATTCCAACCCAACACCAGGTAACCTATCATAATCCTACAGCCACCAACTCTCAACCAGGAGGAAATCCTGTAGCCCAGGTGGTATAACAGGCAAACACCAACACCTGGACCTCCCAGTACCTCAGAGAGGGCAGAGGAACCAGTGGAAACCAGTTCAGAAAACCACCAGGTGCCTTAGCACTCTACAGCAAGGGTAGCATTACAAGTGCAGCACCCATCTACAAGGAGTGGAAAAAAGCTAAAGGAAAGGAAAATCAGGCAACCTAGAATTGCCTGAAAGTTTCAGCCTTGCTGATTCAAGCCCAACACGAGGTAACCTGTAAGAACCCTATAGCCTCCAATTACCTACATAAGAGGCCCCAGCACACAAAGCCAGTGACCAAAACCTAGCCTCCCAACACAAGAAGCTTTAGTCAGTGCCCTCTGTTTCCTAGCAGGGGAGCTCAATCTCTTTAAAGGCCATGGAATAAAGAAACCAGGAGTAAAAAGTAATGTACCATTGATTCATACTATGACAAGAGTAAAGATCAAGATAGAAATTCTGAAGAGGACAACGTTGTCAACAAACCCACATCTGCAAAATAGAAAGGGAATATGAACTTGTCTAAAGCCCAAAAAGCCTTCTTAGGAGAGCTCAAGGAGGATTGTAAAAGTTTAATGAGAGAGGTAGAAGAGTCCTTAAAAAATACAATTGGCCAATTGGAAAAAAGGTACACTGAAGAAAACAAATCCCTTAAAAATACAATTGGCCCAATGGAGAAGGACGTAAAAAAACTGAGAAGAAAACAATCTGTTAAAAACTAGAATTGGACAAATGGAAACGAATGACTCTATGAAACAGCAAGAATCAGTCAAATAGAAACATAAAAATGAAAAAATACGTGAAAACATAAAATACCTCATCAGTAAAACAACCAACCTAGAAAAGTGACCCAGGAGAGACAATTTAAAAATTATTGTACTACCAGAAAATAAAAATTAAAAAAAAGAACTTGGACAGTATCTTTCAGGAAATCATAGAGGAAATCTGCCCGGAAGACCTAGAACCAGAAGTTAAAATAACTATGGAAAGAATACACCGCTCCCCACTTGAAATAGATCCCAAATTAAAAACACCAAGGAATATAGTAGCAAGATTCCAAAATTACCAGAAGAAAGAAAAGGTGCTGCAAGCAGCCAGAAAGAAACAGTTTAAATGTCATGGAACAACAGTCAGGATTACATAGGACCTTGCAGCTTATACATTAAAAGACCGCAGGTGTTGGAACATGATATTTCATAAGGCAAAGGAGCTTGGATTGCAGCCAAGGATCAACTACCCTGCAAAACTGAGCAGGATTTTTCAAGGGAGGAATACTGGACTTCCAAAACTTCCTCATAAAAAGATAAGAGCTCAAGAAAAAATTTGAACATCAAGTATAAGATTCAAGAAAAACATAAAACGGTAAAGACACAAAATGTTCTTAATAATGGCAGAATGTTCATATCCCTACAATGGAAGATGACACTTGTAACTCTTGAAAGCTATAGTGTTATTACACCATGTTAAAGGAGTATACATAAAGGAGGTGGATATTAGTTGACTTTGATATAATGATAAAAAAAATCTAATCAAGTGGGTTAAATGGATCCAAGTAAGTGGATTATTCTGGTCTTGGAAAATGTGCTGAGAATGGAGGAGGCACACAAGGGTAAGTTACATTACAGAAAATGACAGAAAATCCTATTACAGTAAAGAGAAAGAAAGGATGGGGGTGAGCACTGTTTGAACCTTACTCTCATCAAATTTGGCTCAAGAAGGGAATAACATAATCAGTTAGGTATAGAAATCTAACTTGCCCTGTAGGCAGTAGGAGGGAAAAGGGGAAAGAAAAGCCAGGTGAGGTAGAAGGGTGGGAAGAATCAGTAAGGGCAAAGGGGAAGAAAAGGGAAAAAGATAATAGAAGGGAGGAGACACTGGAGGAGGCAGTGGTCAAAAGCAAAACACTAATGAGGGGGGGAAAGGAGAAAGGAGAAAGAAAAGCATGAACGGGGGAAAAGGATATAGGAAAAGACAGATAGTAATCATAAATGTGAATGTTGAATCACTATCTTTTTCTTCTCTTCTACTGACTTTTGTTTCATCTTTCTAATGGTTCCTCCTATTGGTTTTAACTTTTACTTACAACTTCACTAATGTGAAAATGTGTTTAATAGGAATGTAAATGTAAAGCCTATATCAGATTTTGTGCCGTCTGGGGGAGGGTGGTGTGGAGGAAGGGGGAGAAAGTTTTAAACTCAAAAGCATACGGAAGTGATTGTTGATGAATCAAAATACATTAATAAACTTTAAAAAAAAAGGTGAGTAGGCCAATATGGCGTTATTGCAAATATCTAAAAAGAGGTATAATAGGTAAGATGCCTTTAACGATAAGAAGCAGTCAGCTTAGAGATCTTTAAATGCCAACAAGTTGTTTGTGATAGAATCACCTTGGTGGTTCTATAAAGAATGGATTGAAGAGAGCAGAGATATGAGACAGGAAGATCAATTATGAGGCTGTTGCTACGATCTAAATAAGAAGTGATAAGAACGTGAATTAAAGTAGTGTCTACATGAATGTCAAAAAGTACATATATAAAAGAAATGTTGTAGAGATAGAAGTATCAAGATTTTACAAGTCAGATTGTAAGAGGGGAGGGGCGTTACATTGTCCCCTCTCTCTTTTTTAATAATTAGCATAGCACAGTGTCTGGTTAATATTAGGTGCTTGATAAATGTATACTGAATGAATCAGTGAACGAAACTGTAGGGAGTGAGCAAAAGGAATAAAGGATTAGACCAACCTGGGTGACTAGGAGAATACGGTGCTACCACCAATGTCCTAATTCTGTCCTGGGCTACATTCAAAGAGGTGAAGCTTCCAAAAATAGTAAAGTGATAATCCCACAGTACGTTGCCCTCATCAGACCTCATTTGGAGTACCAGATTCACTTCTGGACACCATGGTTTAAGAGACACTAAAAAGCAAGTGAATATATAGAGGAGGGCAATCACAATGGTGAAGGGCCTTGAGTCCATGTTATATGATTTGATTGAAAGAACAGAGCAAATTTACCCTGAAGAACAGAAGAC